GGGAAAAGGTTAAGTAAGAAGCGCTTCCATGAGCCAGACGGCAAGGTTTTACCCCGTGGCCGGAGGACACGGTGTTAGCAGAGAGCTGCAGTAATTTCGGGGCGCAGCGCGTGCTCCCCTAAGAGGTCTCTGTTGTGTTCAGGCTTCTGAGGAGGTTTGAGCAACTCAAGCGCGTTATAGGAAAAGTCGGATTACTGCAGCGCTGAGTCCAGCTGTGGGGCTCCCGGGCCCGTGGCTGCCCACTCTCAGGATGACCAAGGGGGGCAAAAGTCAGCGCCGCTGTTCCCATTCTGCAGCTGTGCTCGGAGCAAGGCTGCGATCTGCCGGGCCTTCAGCGCGCCGAACTCGCGTCCTGGCTGGGAAGGCGTTGGCGCCCAGCCTAGTTAATCTGGGTGACTTTTGCGTTTGCCTGGGGAGGAATGGGACCTTCCAGGGTGCAGTTTGTCTGATCTGGTGCGGATGGGTGCTACGATAAGCGAGAAGCTTCGAACCTCTGGTGCCGTCCAATGGGTCAGGCTCAGCCTGGGGGTATCAGAGAAGGACCTTTCACAAGTGGCCTGACCAGGTCTGATACAGCCGCTGGCGCTGATGCACCACAAAGGAGAGGATGGAGCCAAATAGGTCATTGCCTTGCATTGCTTTCAAAGCCCACTTTGCCTTCCAAGGAGGCACGCATCAGCCCTGGCACCAGGTTTGCCAGGGCAGGATGAGGTGGTGGTGCACATGAGGGTCTTTGAAGCGTTCCTCCTCCCCATGCACCTTTCATTGCCTCCCAGCGGGGAGAAGAAAGCTGCCGTGCATGGAAACATCTTGCGGAGACTCTCCCTTGCTGTAAACACACCTGGCAAAAGAGCAGCGACATAAGGCAGATGCTGCTGGAGACGGAGAGGTACCCTGAAAGCTCTTGGTCCTTTTGAAGCACTAACAAGACTCCTTTCTTTCTTTTTTTTTTGCTGCCTATGGAAGGTTTTCATTCCAGTTTCCTTTCCTCCCTCAAAAGTAGGAAAAAAGCAGCTGTTTGTCTGTCGCGGAGCCAGGCGGTACCCGTGCCTTTCGAGCCGCTCGGCTCCTTGGTTCTCTCCCGCCCCCCCGATGACCC